CTAGCCATCTCCCAATCATAAGTATCTTTAGCTAGCCACTCAATCATACTCAGATTCTCATTAATAGTTTTAGACATATATTGACCTTCGGACATGGATTCAACAACAACTCGCATTTCATCATTTAAACCTTCAAAAATTACTTCACAAATATCCACTTTTAAAAGACTATCACCATAATTATAACCAATATATTCATTAACCCTATGGTAATATCTCCAAAATGTTTCATTCTCATATTGGGGAAGGGAAAAAATTGCCATTTAGTTCAATGGAAGAAACCCCAAAAATAATTTTAAAAAAATAAAAAGAGAAAAAAAAAATATATGTACAAAGACCTAGACTCATCTAATTAATACCTAGCCAATATCAACCGAAGTCCCCAGCAACGGCACCAAAATTTGATAGGCCGTCGTCGAACCTACCAAAGATTAAAAACCTAACTTAGTCTCTCTAATGGGTAGAAAGAGCAAGTAAGGGTCGATCCCACAAGAACTAAGGGGAGCACTAACAAGTATCGATTTGTGATAAGCTAAGTCAAGTCTTTTTGGGTTTTGAGTTATAATGAAAAACTACAAACAATAATAAAAAGGATCTTGGGAAGGTATCCACCAATTAAGTCATTCACAAACTACAATTTAACATACAAAACATAGCAATTTGGGGATGAATTAGAGGAAGTCATCTAAGGCATCTAACTACTCTCTCAAGCTAGAGAGATTACTTGAGTTATGAATACAACCTACTCTCGTGATTACAAAGCATAAAACAAGTGTTAAAGCATTATCACAATGACATAAACATTCCCTTGACTGGAAATTCCTATTCTCATGGCATTTCAAGTCAATTAAGCATAAGGGAGCTAACTCAAGTTCATCTCTCGATCCTTCGTTGAGAAAGCTTAGATAAATAGTTCTAGCAATGGCCACTTACAAGAACTAACAATGAAACCACTTAAACTTAAATAATTAACATCCCACATTATCTAAATCAACACATGCAAACAAGTATTTGTGAATTCATCAATGGTTTCAACCATCCTAAGTAAAAGAACTACTCACACATCATTATAAATTGCAAAACTAAAGTAGTAAACTACTAAGAACATGAATGCAAACACTAATTTAACATAAACAAGTAATAAAACTAAAAAGATACAAAAATAAGTAATTAAAGCAATAAAATAAGAGAGAGAGTAAGAAATTCTCATTGATAATCCAAGAAATAATCAAATATTCAAGTTTCCTTCCTTCAATTCTTCATATTCCAAGCTTTCAACAAGTTTTTCACACTTTCTCTCTCTAGAAAATGAGAGTTTCTCTCTCTAAAAATCCTAACCTAAGCTAAAACTCTTCTAAGAAGATCTTTTTTTACAAATGAAGCCAAAGAGGTATTATATAACCCCCAAGTAAAAGGACGGAGAACACGAGGAAACGACTCGTCTACAGGTCGGCACGGACGTGCCAAAGGTTGCACGGACATGCAGACCTATTAAAATACGACAAGTAGCTACTTCCTGACCTTGCACGGATGTGCTTCATTTGGCACGGACGTGCAATGACTTGCACGGACGTGCCACTTATTGGCACGGACGTGCAACTCTTTTCTGGCGAAACAACTTATTTTCGGAAGGTCATAACTTCTTCGTTACTCATCGGAATAAGGCATGTGACCAGTAGTTAGAAAGCTCTTGAGATGAAATTTAATATCCAATTTGAATCACTCCAATTTGAGAAAAAAAGTTATGGTCATTTGAAGTTGACCTTAGTGCAAAAATCCTTCCAAAACTTTCCAAAAGCTTTTCATTTCTCTTTAAGGCACTCATCCTTCTTCCTTAATTTCTCTATCAACCAAGATTTCCCTTCTCCTTGTTCACTCATGCTTGATCACGTCCATATATAGTGCTAAAAATAGCTATATTACATCAAAAACACAAACAACCCGTGAAGCATGGATGGTACAAAATTTGTATAAAAATAGGATAAATAATGAACTTTGATGTCGAATAATCACGAAACAAGGTTCAAAAGTACCCTAAAATCATACCAAATAACAAGTTATCAAATTTCTCTCGATTATGCCGCCTTCCTTCATAATTTCTGGAGAATTCTCTAGAACTTCATCAAAACCCTTCCATTCTCTTTCATTTTTCTCACTCTCTCTCATGATCTTTCTCCTGCGAACCCTAATACGAATTTTTCTCTTCTCTCTCTGCAAAAATGAACCCATAACCAAATGATTCCCTTCAAAACAACACCCATGAGCGTAGATCTGAGGGTTCTACGCTATACAAGTTGCAGCGAGGCAGTGGGAACCTCAAACATGTTCGCCGTTGCACTTCTTTATTCTGGTACTACACTCGAGGGAAGATCGGTGCGAAATTGTCTGAGTACGTTTCCAGCGATGAGGAACAAGAGAAGGACGCTTCTTTAGAGGGTGAAAGGCCAAATCTAGCCATCAAAGAGGCTAAGGCTGGTGAAATGGGTCCCGATCTAGTTACGGAGGGTGTTTAGGGCCCTTCAACCGTTGTTGCGGTGGTCGAAGAGTCTTCTGATGAGTTTGACTGTGTTGTGGTCAAAGTTCCTGAGCCCCCTGTTGAGGTGGTGGTGCTCCCTGACTCTCCTATTTGGGGGGGGGGGGAGGTGTTATTGCCCGAGTCCCTCAAGTCTCCTGCCTCGTCCAGTAACTCTACTTGGAAGAAAAGGGTTAGATATGTGTTTACTGAGGACTACAGTGATTGGGACCCTTGCTATATGGCTTACCTTAGGGAAAAGTACCCTAATGACTTCCCTCCCAGCAACTGATCAGTGTAGCGTAACTATTCCTCCACCCTAATTTATTGATTTATTTTGTTGATTTTGCTGGTTGATTTTGAAATGGGATTAATTCTGTTGGTTAATGTTTAAATGAGTCCCTTATGTTTGTTAATTGTTTGTGGCTGTTGCTTTAAATTATACATGCTAATTAAAATGCTGGTTTGACATATGTATACAATAGTGGTTAATTGCTGCTGGTTGAAGCTTGTGTGTGTTGATGATGATGGTTGATTTGCCTCTGTATACCCTGCTTGATTACTGTTGTTGGTTTATGCTTGTTAATGATGAGTATGTTGGTTATTTCACTTGTGTACACTCTGTTTGCTTTACTTGTGTACACCCTGTTTGCTTTCTGTTGGTTTATTGAGTCCCATGTTGGCCAAGAGAATTCTTATTTGATGCATGATGAGGCATGTGTTGGTGCCTAACCAGTCTCATTCTATTGATGCCTATTAGTTCTTGCAAGTCTGTGCCTATTGATGTGTGGATGAGTCCCTCAATCATTCATATGCTAGTATACACATTCCAAATGATGAAGGGACTCACTTTGAGTTAGATGTGTATGGTGGTTTTGCTCCAACAAGTGTGTTCACACTTGTTGTTGAGGTAACCACCTTACAACTTTTGAATGAAACTAAAGTAACCACTTTGATGGAATTCAAATAAAAGATGTGTAGGGAATAATTCAAGCGTTAATCCCCTAACTTGAACCCCACTGTGATCATACACTAAAGTACGGTGGCGTCCAAAGGGAAATAAGATAGAGCAAAAGAGTCACCAACAAGTTTTAGGAACTTGTAAACCGTTCACAGGGTGAAGGTTACACCCCTTAACGATCCAAGAGATCGTCAACTCCATAAGGTCTTGAACCAAATAAGGGTTCGGGGATGAAGGTACAAATCCAACCTAAAAGAGATTAAATCTGCCCTAATAATAGGCCTCTACTTTATTCAGATGGTATTCATGTGCGCTTTCTGACTAACATACAATAAATAGGATTAACCTTAAACCTGTTTATCTATGTTGGTTGAATATTAATGCACAAATAAACTATTATTGGAGATCACTTGAATTATAATCATATTAACCCTAAACAAGATTATTAATTATCTTATTAAGCGTGATTACAAGTACCAATTCCCTTTAAACATGCATAAAAGGTGTGATCAAGCAATAACAATGAATATCAAGCAACATAATAATAATTAATATAATAATAATCACAAAAATAATCATCATAATAACAATTATAATAATCATAATCATAATAACAATTATAAAAAGTATTATAATCATAAACTCATAATAATAAATCATAATTAAAATAATCATATCAACGTTAAAGCATAATAATAGCAAGATCCTAGGCATGATACTAACAAGATTAATAACAAACCCTAGCATGTCACTAAGCAATAAAAATCAAATCTTTAACCCTAACATGATACTAAAAATCATAAATATTAGGAAGAACATAGGAAGCATCATAACAATCATATTTGATATTAAATTTACCCTAGACATGATACTAGGAATTGGGCTTATAATATATCGTCGGAAATGTCTTTTCAAGCCCTATCCCAACTACACTACTATCGGATCCATATCATGGACCAACCAAACTGGATTGACTGTTTTTTTAAAATAAGTTTTCAAAAATAGAGAGAAGAGAAAAGAAATTAAAACTACCCGCAACACTAAACTTTCCACACTTTCACTTCATTCGATTATGATTCGACGTGAAAGGTACTCATTGCCGGGTTTGGTTTTGGGGAGAAACAAATGGGTGTCTACAGAAGCCCCCACTTTGACTGAGTTTGGAGAAACGCAAGTTTCAAAAACAAACACTAGTGGAAAAAATCTCATTCGTAACAACCTATTTGTAACGGGCAAAGCTTTGCCCGTTACGATTAAGATATTCGTAACGGACAAAATAGTGTCCGTTACGAATACTTATTTATTCGTAACGGGAAAAATATTGTCCGTTACGAATACTTATTTATTCGTAACGGGAAAAATAGTGTCCGTTACGAATACTTATTTATTTGTAATGGGCAAAATAGTGTCCGTTACGAATATAATGTATTTGTAACAAGTACTATTTTGCCCGTTACGAATAAATAAGTATTCGTAACGGACAATATTTTTCCCATTATGAATACTATATTACACGTAGATGCCCAAACTTGGCCCAAATAATGAGAGGAGCCCAATACTTGCTTTTTAGGGTTTCACCTCTCTTTCTCATCAGTCCCTCACTCCCTCTCTCTCTCTCATCAATCGCTCACTCCCTCTCTCTCTCCTCTCCTCTCGTTATTCACCTCTCTTCTCCTTCCCTCCCATCTCCAATACTTGAGTAGCGATTGTGTTCATCTTGAGACGAGAAACTTGACCGGCGGCTTCATACAAGAGCTCCCAAGCGGCGTCGTTTTGGGCGGAGGTGTAACCGGCGGTGATGGAACTCTTGCTCGAAAACCCAATCCGGTTCGACCAGGGTCCGAACCCAGTTAGCGTCGATTGTGGCGACATTGAGAATAACTAAGCCCGTAGGCTTCTTCATCTTTAGATCTAAGTCGTTGAACGAACTGATGCTAGGTAAGATTTTTCTCTTTGTAATCATCGAATATTAAGTTGGAAGATTTATCAGTTTGAATGTGGTAAACGATGATTGTCTGAGTTGATTCAACTTTATTTTTTGAAATTTATGTTGTTTTTAATTGATTTAAGTTTCTGGGTAATGGATTTTTGGGATATTTTGTGCTGAATTTTTGCAATTTAGGGTTTAATTTTAATTTAATGGTGAAGAAGTTAACAATTTTCCCCAATTTGATTTTGAACAGAAGGAAAGAAAGCGAAATTGACATGGAAGAATCTCGAGAAAGGTATTGATTTGATTTAATTGAATTTGATTTGGCTTTTGAACATCTATCGGGGATCATCCCTAATTTCTAGTATGTTTGATTGAATTTGGCTTTTGAACCTTGGAATTTGTTAATTTTAGGATTTTTTGAATAGTAATATGAGTCAAATGTTTAAATTATACTGCGTTATATTTGTTTATTATAGTGTATTAGTAGTGCATAATCGACCAATAAATTGTTGTGTCGCCTTATGAAATTGGTTAAATTGCCTTGTGAAATTGGTTAAATTATGCTGCGTTATATTTGTCTCCTACTTGTTGTTGTCCAAGCCTGCTAAGGATGACTTAACTTGTATCTCAAACAAATAAATTTATGTCGCCAAATAAAGACGTTTGGCTGACTTAATTAGTTGTTCTTTGTTTGCAGACAAGCTTGTGGTCTCCACTTCCTGCTCACTTCTTCACACTACTTTTGATCTTGTTAACGAGACTTAAAGCTTGATGATGAAATCAAGTCATGGCTTGCATTTGCTGCACAGAAAGTTGTTAAAGTTAACGCTTTGGCCAAGGCGTTTGTCTGGTCAGAAGGATGAGGTAAACCCCAATGCTAATACATTTTGCTTGCCATAAGTTTTTCTTATTTCTTTTTTATTTTTTTTATTAACACTTGCTTTTTATATAGTTTTGTGACAATTCCTTTGGTTGTGAATATCATATTTGATCCTCAGAAACTGGGATTATAATAAAACTCTGTTCAAATAGATTGTTTTGATTGTGGCTCAATTTCTCATACATTTATTTGTGTTATTGTGTATTCAAGCAAGAGACTTGCTACCAAATTGCTTTGGCCATCAAGGATGAGGTTGAGGATCTTGAGAAGGCTGGTATCAATGTTATCCAAATTGACGAGGTTGCTTTGAGAGAAGGTTTGCCACTCAGGAAGTCTGAGCACGGTAGCTACTTGAAGTGGGCCGTCCACTCCTTACGTATCACCAATGTTGGAGTCCAAGACCCAGGTAACTTTTGCTACATTGTGACTCGTGTTGCTGAATTTTGTACCAGGAAGTTCTTGTGCTATAAAAATGAATTTCAATGCTCATCTCTGTATTTTTTCTTTAATGATTGAATTTATTTCTTGTACAGTTAATTTCCCACTTATATTTCAACTAATTGAGCTCAAAATGTAAGATATTGTAGCAATTTGAGTAACCCCATTATGTATGGTTGTGAATATATGAATGAGAGTGGATGAAAAAAGAAGCATTTTGCTGTTTTCTGGCTTTTTGGATTTTGAAATTGAAATGTACAGGCTTAATCTTGTTCCATCTTATAAAATAGATGGGCCATGACGCTGAGACGGGGAGGTGGGGATTAGTAGCTAGGCATACTCCACCCCTTTCTTAGTTCTTATGCTATAAAAATGAAAAAATTGCTACATGAGAAATTATCAGTTAACAAACCCTGACTGGAAAAACCAAATTAGTTTTTGGGTTCCCATCCTATGTTTTTTACAGTTAGCTAGTTAAATCCTTCTGATTTTAGCTCACTATATGTGTTCATATTATGGTCTTCATGTCAATAATATTATTGCCGTGTGTCTAACAAAAACAGAATTATGCTGCAGATTTCCCCATTGCCCAGGAATTTACACTAATGAGCAAGTCGAAGCAAGGAAGAAAGTGGTTAATGCTGTTCATGCAAAGGGTGCATTCATCTTCTGCCAGTTTGTCGAGCCTCGCATACAAATTAACTATTCACTCTATATAGTTATAAATTTTCATGTTGTATTAAGGACTATTATTTATATAGTAGCTTTTGACTCATGTTAGGGAGTTGTTGTAAAGTTGTATCTTTGATTTTATAATTAATTATATTTTACATTTATTATTATTGAATATTGATAATAGTAATTAAAATTTGGCATCATAAAAGGTTATCAAGTTAGCAGTGTAGCAGGTATCACCTGCTGCATTTTTTTTTAAATTTGGGTTCAATTGTATTTGTAACGGGTTATTCGTAACGGGCAGTTTGACTGCCCGTTACGAATAACATAGCCTATCCGTAACGGCAGCATACGTAACGCCCGCTGCCCGTTTCGGATAGGCTACTTTTGCCCGTTACGGATAACTATTTTTCCACTAGTGAAAAGTCAAAGTATCGATAGGGACGGAGAATGACTCAGAACGTTCTGCGATCCTAAATCACTCTTGTAACGCCGATACTTGCAAACTAGCGTTAGTTAAATAGATAAAAGAGTTAAGAAATGCGTATCTTGCACCGTCGAGCACACGTTTATGAAAGTAACCGATTTGCTGCTGCTTTTACTTTTGTTTTGATGACCTCCTGCCAAGAGAATGCCATCCCGCTTGAAAACCGCTACGCTTGTAACTGCTTCCAATATAGAAGACTGCTTCGCTTGAAACGATCCTCTTTCGTTTTGATAATATTCCACGTCCAAGGGAACACCATCGAAGATTGCTTCGCTTGAAACAATCCTCCTCTGCTTTGATAATATTCCACGTCCAAGGGAACACCATCGAAGATTGCTTCGCTTGAAACAATCCCCATCCGCATTGATAATATTCCATGTCCAAGGGAATACTATCGAAGATAACTTCGCTTGAAATCACCTTCTTCCGCTATGATAATACTCCACGTCCAAGGGAATACTATCGAAGATTGCTTCACTTGAAACAATCCTCAATTGTTTGTGACAACTCTCCACAATCTAGGGAACGCCACCTTGCTGTTTCGATGTTCACTCGTCTATGAACAATGGAGCTTCTTTTGGATATGTTCACGCGCCTCTGAACAAAGAGCTTCTTCTTTTTTTTTTTGTTATGTCCACGCGTCTCTGAATAAAGAGCTTGTAGGAAATGTTCACGCGTCTCTGAACAAAAGAGCTAGAATAATAGGCCCACGCGTCTCTGGAGCAAAGAGCTTTGATGGAAGTGTTCACGCGTCTCTGAACAAAGAGCTTTTGATTGATATGCCTCCAATTTCCGCCGTGATAATCTTCGAAAAGATCACTGCTTGTTGATCCTTAATGCTGCTATGCCAGTACATCGGCGCTTTGCTGCTTGTGAACCAGTATGTCGACAATCCTCTTTTATTTGGGAATAGTTGCCAACACAACTCTTGTATGATGTGTGACAATCCGATTTATGGAAAGTTGTCAATTCCACGTAACAATCCATTCTTGGAAATGTTGCTACGATGAAGCGACAATCCGTATCTCGGAAAATTTGTCAAAAATCCAATTTTGGGAAAAAGTTGCCAATGCTTCGTAACAATCTTTCATAAAAACTTTGCTACGATCGACAATCCACGTCTTGGAATATAACTCTTGAAAGCAATCCACCTTGGAAATTTGCCAATGTTATGCGACAAATCTTTTAGGAAAATATTGCCACAATTGACAATCTGCGTCTTGGAACATTTGCAAAAAAAGAGTCGATCGACAATCCACTTCAGGAAAATTTGCCACTTACTGAAATGAATGAAAATCCACGTTGAGGAACCTTTGCTGATATTTATGATGAATAGAAACCTACAACAATCCTTTGGAAAAATTTTCCATAGGGAATTGGGTGTATGACAATCCAATCTCGGAAAACTTGCCAGCAATGACAATCCGAACTTGTAAAAAAATGCCAAACAAAGAAGGAGCACGACAATCCACACTTAGAAACTTTTCCAGAGATGACAATCCGAACTTGTAAAAATTGTCGTTGAAGAAGATGCACGACAATCCATTTTTGGAAATATTGTCAGTTGGGGATGACAATCCAATTTTGGAAATGTTGTCGTTCAAGAAGAATGCGCGACAATCCATATTTGGAAATATTGTCGTTTAAGTGCTTGCTTTTTAACCGATTGTAATGAGCCAGTGTTTTAGGCGCTTAAGCTAAGTGAGACGATTTTTTGTCAGGTTGATAACTCAGACTGTAATCAAACCAACTACTTAATCATGTCAAATTGCTTATAGGGGCTAACTGACGTACCAAGGAATCCGAAATTGCTGTATGAGGTCAAAATAACCATTTTGAGAGGCTTCGAGCTCTGTCGTTGCTGAAATATCTCTGGCGCCAAGAATTGACTCTGTCGCCAGACACTGGGATCTAGTGCCAGGGGCTAAAAGCTATTGCCAGACGCTAGATGTTTTCGTCTGGCGCTGGGGTAGGGTCTTCCCTATTCTGCTGCACCTGTATTCATTTTTTACTATAGAACTTTGCCAATTTCTTCAATTATCTTATGGTTGACCTAAGGTTTAGCGTCACTTGACTCATTGACTTTACACGACTCAAGGCATAAACTTGACTCGCTGTGACTGACTGACTCAAGGTTGACTCGACTCGAAGTGTGTGACAAATGTGTTAGACTCAAATCAAGGTGACATGACACGACATGATTCAATGTGTACATGACCTGTGTGTGCATTGTAATGTGATCGTGCGACTCGAAAATGCAAAAAAGCAAAAATTTTCCATCATTTTTATGGAGGGTACCGACTTTCTCCCGAAAAAGTAAGACGCAAAAAAGAATCTAAGTAAAGTTTTTGAAGGTGCATGTTGAATGAGCTTAGTCAAATGTTGTTTGATACTATTTCTCAAGGTGCAAGGATTAATTCATCCTAGGCTATCTCAATTGTTGAATCCATGGTGAAATTATTTGGGTAACTTAGGCACGGAGGCTAAGCACTTCGTACTTTGTGATGCAATGATGATTGATGAGCGATTTTGACATGACAAGGCATGCTTCAGCGTTGTGTTAAGATTTCATGACAAAGGGTGCCTAAGGGAAAGTATATTTGGTCACGTATCTGTGCGGTGTGTGATAGTGATTCTAAAGCTAGGCCACAAGAGCTAAGTGTGTGGAAAGATATTATTTTTTAAAAGAGTCAAATGATGGTGAATCTTAGGCTAGGTAAGCTAATGATATAGGGATCAAGCCCCCAAGTCTAGCTCGAAGTGAATAGGGATGAGCATAGGATATCCCTTGATATGATGAATTATGAATGTAAATATGAATGCATGTTTATTACGGCCGCACCTCGACGTGAGGTTGCCTACGTATCCGTTAGGAATCAGGCCGAACATAGCTCTAGCCGAACCTCGCACAAGTGTGTATACCTCAAAAAGGTCGTTTAAGGGTTGTAATGTGGTTAGGCTAAAGGTTATAGAAGAAGGGGAAAAAGACTCAAGACCCTCGATAATCCCCTAAGGTGTGCAACCTTGCTTTTTAATCTTTATAATTTTATGCTTGAGTTTCTACTCTTTTGGGTCTCCCCAAAACCAAACCCGGTGATGAGTACCTTTCACGTCGAATCATAATCGAATGAAGCGAAAGTGTGGAAAGTCTAGTGTTGCGGATAGTTTTAATTTATTTTCTCTTCTCTCTGTTTTTGAAAACTTATTTTAAGAAAACAGCCAATCCAATTTGGTTGGTCCATGATATGGGTCCAATAGTAGTGTAGTTGGATGGGGCTTGACAAGAGCTTTCCAACGATATATTATAAGCCCAATTCCGATGAATATTGAGGAAGTTATGGCCAATTTACAAAACTGGGGTCGTTTTGAGCCTTATATGTGGCCCAATGATCTAGGGGAGGGCCTAATATGGATTTATCATTCCTAATGTAATTAGGAATGGTTTTAGTCTTCTAGATTCTTCTAGAAGTTTCTTTTCATTCCTAATTCAATTAGCATTGATAAATTGACTTTCGTTGACTTTTCAGAGTTTTAATTAAAATCAAAAAGCATTTTTGAGGAAAATTTACGATTTTATCCTCTAGTACGACAAACTTATATGATTTTCGAAAACGCGTTGAAAACAGGCCTGGCGCCTGACTCCAGGCATTGGCGTCTGGAACCAGGCCTGGCGCCTGGTGCTAGCGATTGGCGCCTAGCGCCAGTTAGCCAGGGTTGGCGCCAGCTCTGTTTTTCGTGCGCTAGACTCTGTTTTGTTAATTTATCTTTTCGGCTGATTTTCTCTATCAATAAAGTCGTAAAAACTCCGTTTTGATTCACCGATTCTCATCAACATTCATCTATAATCACCTACAATCTGTTTTTCATTCGCAATCATTAATTCTCTAATTCTCTCTTAATTCATTCATCTTCTCTCTTTCTCTTTTCTAAACTTGCTTTTCAAATACAAAATTCCGCATTCATTAGATCTAGAAACACCTAGCCATATTCGAAGTTGCCTTCGCCCTAGACGTGAAAGGTTTAATTTCTGAGGGTTTGGTCCCAAATCTCTCTTTTAATTATTTAATTTAATTGTTTTGATTATTATTTTCTTTGAAGTTACTGACGTGTGTATTTTGTTATTAGAAAGAGGAATGAGGCATCGAAGTAAGTGCTTTAATGGTTTTAATTGATATTATGATGTAGAAATCATGTTTACATTGTTATTATGATATTCCTAGTATCATGTCTAGGGTAACTTTAATATTAAATATGCTTATTATTGTTCCTGCGATGCTTTCTATGTTCTTCCTAATATTTATGATTGTTAGTATCATGTTAGGGCTAAAGATTTGATTTTTATTGCTTAGTAACATGCTAGGGTTTGTTATTAATCTTGTTAGTATCATGCCTAGGATCTTGCTATTATTATGCTTTAATATTAACATGAACGTGATTATGATTATAATTGTTATAATTTATGATGATTAAGAATATTATTATTATTATTATTATTATTATTATTATTATTTTCATGATGATTATTTTATTTATGATTATTATTATTATGATTATCATTTTATTATTATGATTTTGATTATTTATTATGTTGCTTGTTTCTTGATATATTTTATTGTTATTGCTTGATCACGCCTTTTATGCATGTTTAAAGGGAATTTTGTACTTGTAGTCATGCTTAATAAGAAAATTAATAATCTTGTTTAGGGTTAATATGA